TCTTCGGTCGAGCTACGGGTAGCTCAACCAAGAATGTAATTTCTTCAACCCCTTTGTTTATCAACCACATCTCATCAACTTTTCATGCGTGCTCCGCCTATCTCATGCTAGGCTGATTTGGCAAAACATGCACCAACTTACCCGTCACATGGAGTGTCGAGCTGTTGAGTCACACGGGCCGGGTTACACGTCCTTTTGTGAAGTGCCGAGCTACGGACCTAATGCGCGAGGTGACGCCCACCTCGTCCAGCCAACAAGCTGTCACGAAGAAGTGGGGTACCATGAGAGGCCGAGCTCCACGGGAGCTGCCGAGCTAGCCATAGCGCCTAACTTATCCGCCGAGTATGCACCACCGAGCTGCCGGGGTCGCGCGAGGGACCGTCTGCTGCCGAGCTGCCAACAATGCCAAGTTGCGCGTGGGCTGGGAAGCGTCGTGCGGACGTTGACGCGGGGTGCACGGACCACCGAGCTCCCAGCAACGCCGAGCTGCCTAGGTGCCGAGGTGCTAACTGCTGAGGTTCCAAGATGCCTAACTGTTGTGATTCCTAGGTGCCTAACTGCCTAGGCACCTAGCTGCTGAGATGCCTAGCTGACTAGGCGATCACATCCGCCTACCTCATCAATCTCTTGGTAATCCGCCTAGCTCACAACGAGCTAGTCTTACCTAGCTAATCCTCGCCTAATTTCCATTCGCATAGCTCATCAATCTCTAGGTATTCCGCATAGCTCACGCCGAGCTAGTCTTCGCCTAGATCTCATTCGCCTAGCTCATGAATCTCTTGGTATTCCGCCTAGCTATTTCTCGCCTAACTCCCATTCTCCTAGCTCATCAATCTCTTGTTATTCTGCCTGGCTCATCAACCTCTTGTTATTCTGCCTAGCTTATCAATCTTTTGTCATTCTGCTTAGCTCACGTCGAGCTAGTCTTCGCCTAGCTAGTCATCGGCAAGTTGTGGCTAAGTTCGGCCTCTGACCGATCTTCCATTAATCGCTACTTATGGTCGTATCATCTAGCCTCCCCAATTCTTCGGTCGAGCTATTCGCTACTTATGGTCGTATCATCTAGCCTCCCCAATTCTTCAGTCGAGCTACGGATAGCTCGACCAAGAATGTAATTTTTCAACTCTTTTGTATATCAACCACATCTCATCAACTTTTCATGCGTGCTCCGCCTATCTCTTGCTAGGCTGATTTGGCCCAACATGCACCAACTTACTTCAAATGGAGTGCCGAGTTGCTGAGTCACACGACCCGGGTTACACGTCCTTTTGTGAATTTCCGAGCTACTGACCTAATGCGCGAGGTGACGGACACCCCGCCAGCCAACAAGCTGTGAAGAAGCAGGGTACCAAGAGAGGTCGAGCTCTACGGGAGCTGCCGAGCTAGCCATAGCGCCGAACTTCTCCGCCGAGTATGCACCGTCGAGCTGCCGAGCTGTTGGGGTCGCACAAGGGACCGCTGCTGTCGAGCCGCCCACATGGAGGTGTCGAGCTGTACTGCCGAGTCACGTCGAGCTGTCGAGTATGCACATCTGAGCTGCCCACAATGCCGACCTGCGCGTGGGCTGGGAAGCGCCGGGAGCTCCACCCAAAATTCGGAAGTTGACGCACGGTGGACGGACCACCGAGCTCCCAGCAACGTCGAACTACCGAGATGCCTAGGCGCCTAACTGTTGAGGTACCTAGGTGCCAAGATGCCTAGGTGTCTAGCTGCTGAGATGCCTACTGACTAGGCGATCACATCCGCCTAGCTCATCAATCTCTTGGTATTCCGCCTAGCTCACACCGAGCTAGTCTTCGCCGAGCTAGTCCTCGCCTAGCTCCCATTTGCGTAGCTCATCAATCTTTTGGTATTCCGCCTAGCTCACGCCGAGCTAGTCTTTGCCTAGCTAGTCCTCACCTAGCTCATCAATCTCTTGGTATTTCACCTAGCTGACGCCGAGTTAGTCTTCGCCTAGCTAATCCTCGCCTAGCTCATCAATCTCTTGGTATTCTGCCTAGCTCATGCAGAGCTAGTTTCGCCTAGCTAGTCCTCGCCTAGCTCCCATTCTCCTAGCTCATCAATCTCTTGATATTTTGCCTAGCTCACGCCGAGCTAGTTTCGCCTAGCTAGTCCTCGCCTAGCTCCCATTCTCCTAGCTCATCAATCTCTTGGTATTTTGCCTAGCTCACGCCGAGCTAGTCCTCGTCTAATTCACATTCGTCTAACTCATCTATCTATTGGTATTCCGCCTAGCTAATCAATCTCTTGGTATTCCGCCTAGCTCATCAATCTCTTGGTATTTCACCTAGCTCACGCCGAGTTAGTCTTCGCCTAGCTAATCCTCGCCTAGCTCATCAATCTCTTGGTATCCCGCCTAGCTCACGCCGAGCTAGTTTTCGTCTAGCTAGTCCTCGCCTAGCTCCCATTCGCCTAGCTCATGAATTTCTTGGTATTCCGCCTAGCTCATGCCGAACTAGTAGTCTTCGCCTAGCTAGTCCTCGCCTAGCTCCCATTCTCCTAGCTCATCAATCTCTTGGTATTCTTCCGCTCACGTCGAGCTAGTATTCGCCTAGCTAATCCTCGCCTAGCTAATCCTCGACCAAAAATGTAATTTCTTCAACCCTTTTGTATATCAACCACATCTCATCAACTTTCCACTTGTGCTCCGCCTATCTCATGTTTGGCTGATTTGGCCGAACATGCACCAACTTACCTGTCAAATGGAGTGTCGGGTTGCGAGTCACACGACCCGGGTTACACGTCCTTTTGCGAAATTCTGAGCTATTGACCTAATGCGCGAGGTGACACACACCCCGCTAGCCAACAAGCTATGAAGAAGCAGGGTACCATGAGAGGTCGAGCTCCAGGAGAGTTGCCGAACTAGCCATAGCACCGAGCTTCTCTACCGAGTATGCACCGCCGAGATGCCGAGATGCTGAAGTCGGGCAAGGGATCGCTGCTGCCAAGCCGCCCGCATGGAGGTGCCAAGCTGTCGAGTATGCATCGCCGAGCTGCCCACAATGCCGACCTGCGCGTGGGCTGGGAAGCGCCGAGAGCTCCACCCAAAATGCGGACGTGGACGCGTGGTGGACAGACTACCGAGCTCCCAACAACGCCGAGCTGCCGAGGCGCCAAGATGCCTAGCTGTTGTGATGCCTAGGTACCTAGCTGCCTAGGCACCTAGCTGTTGAGATGCCTAGCTGACTAGGCGATCACATCCGCCTAGCTCATCAATCTCTTGGTATTCCACCTAGCTAGTCCTTGCCTAGCTCCCATTCGCCTAGCTCATCAATCTTTTGGTATTCTGCCTAGCTCACGCTGACCTTGTCTTCGTCTAGCTAGTCCTCGCCTAGCTCCCATTCTCCTAGCTCATCAATCTCTTGGTATTCCGCCTATCTAGTCCTCACCTAGCTCTCATTCTCCTAGCTCATCAATCTCTTGGTATTTTGTCTAGCTCACGCCGAGCTAGTATTTGCTAAGCTAGTCCTCGCCTAGCTAGTCCTCGGCTGGCTGTGCCTAAGTTTGGCCTCTGACCGGTTCTCCATTAACCGCTACTTATGGCCGTATCATCTAGCCCCCCCCCCCCCATTCTTCGGTCGAGCTACGGGTAGCTCGACCAAGAATGTAATTTGTTCAACCTCTTTGTTTATCAACCACGTCTCATCAACTTTTCACGCGTGCTCCGCCTATCTCATCCTAGGCTAATTTAGCTGAACACGCACCAACTTACGTCACATGGAGTGCCGAGCTGTTGAGTCACATAGTCTGGGTTACACGTCCTTTTGCGAAGTTCCGAGCTACGGACCTAATGCGCGAGGTGACGCCCACCCCGCCCAGCCAACAAGCTGTCACGAAAAAGCGGGGTACCATGAGAGGCCGAGCTCCACGGGATCTGTCGAGCTAGTTTTATCGCCGAGCTTCTCTGCCGAGTATGCACCACCGAGATGCCGAGCTGTTGGGGTCGCGCAAGGGACCACTGCTGTCGAGCCGCCCGCATGGAGGTGTCGAGTTGTACTGTCGAGTCACGCTGAGCTGTCGAGTATGCACCGGCGAGCTGTTGGGGTCGCCCGAGTGACCGTCTGCTGCCGAGCTGTACATGGGTGCCGAGCTGCCCACAATGTCAAGCTGCGCGTGGGCTGGGAAGTGCCGAGAGCTCCACCCAAAATGTGGACGTTGACGCGCGGTGCACGGACCACTAAGCTCCCAGCAAAGCCGAGATGCCGACGTGCCGAGGTGCCTAGGTGGCAAGATGCCTAGCTGCTGTGATGCCTAGGTGCCTAGCTGCCTAGCGCCTAGCTGCTGAGATGCCTAGCTGACTAGGAGATCACATCCGCCTAACTCATCAATCTCTTGGTATTCCGCCTATCTCACACCGAGCTAGTCTTTGCCTAACTAGTCCTCGCCTAATTCCCATTAGCCTAGCTCATCAATCTCTTGGTATTCCGTCTAGCTAGTCCTCGCCTAGCTCTCATTCGCCTAGCTTATCAATCTCTTGGTATTCCGCCTAGTTCTCGCCGAGCTAGTCTTCGCCTAGCTCCCATTCTCCTAGCTCATCAATCTCTTGGTATTCTGCCTAGCTCACGTCGAGCTAGTATTCGCCTAGTTAGTCCTTGGCTGGTTGTGGCTAAGTTTGGCCTCTGACCGGTCCTCCACTAACCGCTACTTATGGCCGTATCAACATCACTCCACATTTCAATTCTTCAAATTATTTTCATCTCAAAAACGTTTTTTTCAAACATTTTATAGATTAGATATAAAAAAATTTGGTTTTGTTTTGTTTTTTTGTTTGATTTAGTTAGTTTTGAAAAAGTTGGTATGGTTAGTTGTTGTGGGTATATTAAAATATTATTTAAAATAAAATGATTAAAAGTTGATTTGATGTAAAGTAGGAGAGAGAAAACTTGAAGTGATGGTTAGTTAAAATAATGTGAGTAGATGAATAGTGATTTAAGGTTGATGTAGTGTGTATGCATGATTGATTGAAATTATTTAATTATATTGATAATATTGATGATAGTGGTGTTGAGTTAAAGTTGAGTTAAAAATGTTTGGACTTTTTTTAAAAATTTTGTATCCAATCACGCTCTTAGTGATTTTCTTTTTTCAACAAGTCTTCGGCACATTTTCAAAAAGTCTAATCAATTGGAACATTTTCAAAAGCTTTCAATTGGAATAGCTGTCTTCTTTTGAATATATGCTCGTCTTCAACATTACCTTTATTTCCCCTTTAGTTCTTTCCTTTTAGTTTGCAATTTTTCTTTTTCTGACGTTATTGTTTTTCAAGTGCATGGCCCAACATGCTGTGTTCTTGGTAGTTTCTTCTATTTTTTAATCTTTTTGTTGAAAACGAATTTGAAATTGAATTCATTGTGCGAGGATATTAATTATCAATCAAGTTTGGTTAAACTTCATCGCTTTATTTCTTGTGAAATAATTGAACTTGCATTGTTATTGTCCAATGAAAAGACCGTCTCAAGCAAAAACAACTTCTCTCAAAACTCAAAATTTTGATTTTCAATCCTATACATTATGATAAACCATTCATTATTTCACATCTCGATCCAGTTACACTATGAATACCAACAAAAAGTAAAATCTCGCATATGTAATAATATCATGTATTACTTAAGAGTTAACACAACATCAACTTCATTCTCATAATAAAACATGTTCGTCTATGGTAATATGATATTAAAACATCAGCGCATCAGGTAAGTAAAACTTTAAAAATACCAAATGAAAAGTGTCATTGGATCTTACCCAAAGCACACATCAGTTTTACATGCTAAGATACAAACCAAATTTATTACCTTGGAGTTTAAAGATTCACATATATGATCTCATTCGAGGCCTCACTAAGGACTGGCCACCATCAACGTAAATAGTTGTCCCTGTCATGTATTTTGAGCCGTCACTGATCAAATATATAACAGTCGAGGCCAAATCATTTTCAACATCAAGCCACCTGTGTAAAGGTGTAGCTTCGCGTACCAACTTTTGGGCCCTCTCCGTCCCCACAGACAAGGGGAACTCGTCGTGGAGATGCAAACCTCGAGCTATTGCATTAACCCTTATCTGGTATTTACCGATTTCCATAGCCGATGTCTGTCAAAAACATGTATAAGAATGTAAGCTATGGATCAAAATTCAGTTTCATGGATGAGAGGATCTGAAGGGAAAAAGTTAGTTTGATTCAAAATTCAAAATCCAAAATTCCCTGTTTTGAACTATTTTCAGATACCCCTCACAGAAAGTCATTTGAAATCATTCCTCAAAATCATTTTCCTTAATCGAAACCTAGCCATCCAAATGCAACCTTAAGGTTTACTCCACTTTATTCAGTTTATATTTGCAAATTGCACCATACTCATTATTTACCATAGCTTTAATCAGTGATGTTTTTTAAAACCTTTAAAAAGGTACTTTATAATTCTGAAAAGACACTTGTATACTTCTTTTTTCCTTTAATTTTTGGGTAATTAGGGGGAAAAAAAACTCAGTGGTGACTGTTGAAATTTAACCCCAAATTGCATGAGATTGTTCAGTTCAACACACTCTGAGAAATTAAACAGCAATATCACCAATGCTGCAAAATGTGAACTCTTAGATTTGCTAATTCTAGGAACTTGAGGTAATAATATGCTATACTCACCCTTACTAGCTGCTGTATACCAGCCAAACACGAACCGTATGCTGCTGATCCTGGATACAATCCTCTTTCAGCCCCCAATATTGAAGTCAAGAATACAATAGAACCTCCAGATTTCTGGTCCCTCATTGCTTTGCCCACAGCTTTTAAGAGATACCACGCAGCCATAAAGTTGGTTTTGACAATCTTTTTGAACTCATTTTCGGATAAAGACAAAGGATCTTGCATCTTTCCTGTTTCAGATAGTAATTACAGGTTTTTTTTTTTTTCAGTTTCTACTTGTAATTATAGCAGCTAGACACCAAGTTTTGCTAAAGTAGAAACTGGTACTGATAGAGTTCTTTGTGCTCTTCTACCTGTGAAAAATTACAGGGGACCGAAAAATGAAAGTAAAATGAATACAGACATTGCAACTGCCCTGAACGTCCATCCTTAATGATCCACAACAGACCAATATATCCATTGTTTCCATTTAAGTAAAACACTACATAAAAAGTAGGAAACTATTTCCTTACATTACAATTATCCATTTCGAAGTTTTATTGACTACTAGCAATTGCTCACTTTCACATTAACACTATGCCTAAGACAATGCAGCCAGGATACCAAGTTCAACGGTACCTCACGACAAATTATCTCAAGGGAAGAGGAGACTGTGATGGGTTTGTATCAAAAACATTTAATCAGAGATTCTCCCAAGAAAAACCAAATTAACCTTGACTACAAAAGATAATAAGAAATCCTTTAAATTTGTGACCTCCCTTTAGCCATGAAAGCAAATATGAATAAGAGTAACAAGCTTCTGAACGCCATAGGATTTCCTCTGTCAAGAAAAAAGTTGCCGGAGCAAATAGAGTTATTCAATGGATATTTATCCTCTACTTTTCATGATGAATTGGACAAAAATGACAAACGTTACATAGAGCTTTTCCAGCTCGGTGAATTTAGTGATGAGCTAGAAAACAGACTAGCTTCAAATATTTAAGTAATGTAGTATGACCACCTCAAACAACATTTCTCACTAAACATACCACAGAGCAAACTTATTCTCCAACCTCAACAAAAGGAGTTGTGTAGGAAAGTGTTTACATAAGTTCTATCAAGTTGCTAAATGTTAGAAACCCTTTTACTTCAACACTATTCACCACAATCAAGAACATACTCTTAGAATCTGACTAAAATTAACCAATCGTAATTCAAACTATTCACCACAATCAAGAACATACTCTTAGAATCTGACTAAAATTAACTTATGACCAATCGTAATTCAACTCACAAACAATCGAATCGAAATCGCTATACCTCAATCTCACACCCCATAAAAATTTTCCAAACAAATAAAGCGCGTGAGCTGAATGCTGATCTGAACAAAATAACAATACCTTCATAGGAATAGCAGTTGACCAAAGCGTCCAGACTTCCCAACACGCGCCTTGCCCTCTCCACAGCTTCACTGAAAATCGCCTCTCTTTCTTCTTCCATATCCAGCCCAATTACCTCGATCGAAACGACGCCGTTCAAGGATCGCCCGATCTCGTCCGCCGCAATCCTCAATCGCTCCTCATCTCCCATCAAAACCAACCTAAGCACAATTCGTCTGTATAAGCATAATTCCATATTTTTTTCTTTAATTAATATAAAGATGAAGATGCTGCGAGGACTTACCTGCAACCACGCTGGGCTAAATGGCGGGCGATGTTGATGGAAACCTCATCGCCACTGGAGGTTAACAAAATTTTCTTTACTGGATTGGCCATTTTCACAGTTTGAAGAACTGAATGTCTTCTTTTGTTTTTTTTTTTTTTTTTTTTTTTCTTCTTCTCTCGTTCACCTTCCTTGGGCGCTGCTCATACACTCGGCACAGTGTTGTCAAACTGTTAAGTTTTATTTATTTCTTAATTAGTTGAGTAAGACTGTATAGACTATAGAGTCTACAAGCTGTAGAGCTGCTATTTATTTTGGCGAACCGGCACGGCTACCCTCCCTGTAACAGAATGGTGCCACCACGTACGGAGGAGAATGTTTAAAAACGATAATATTGACATCTATAAATCGACGATAGATAATTGAATGATCATTATCAATGGTCAAACCAACATTTTCAAGTGCAGGGGTAAATTTCCTATGTATCGTTTTGACTTTAGGAACTTCTAACTTTAATAGGTATTCATAATATTGATGAAGTCATGTTGTTTGCTACCTTATAATTTTTTGTTTATTTCTTATATTTTGATTTTTTTAAGTTAAAATCTTTAATACTACATTATACATTATACATTTCAATATGCATTGTTTTATATTTTTGTAGATGTTATTGGATTGGTTGTTTCAATACAACCTATTCAAATGATGGTTGTCGAGGGAGTTCCTATCAATGATCTCTATTTTAGATTTGGAGTAAGAATCTTTAGCATTATATATACATATTTTATATTCTAATGTCTTTATATAGTTTTTTTCTATTATATTTCTATTTTAATGTTTTCCTCATGTAATATCTTAAAGAAAAATTAAAATATCAATGTTTAAAAAATTACTTTTGCAACTCATAATATGCCTTTTAAAAACCTCTAGATATTGTGTGGGGAAAACATAAAGAACTGCACGGTTTGGGCCCAGTTGTATATTGTTGTCTCTCGCGTTACAAACAGAAATGGTTTGAAAATTCTAATTTGTGGACAAGATCACGTGCCAAAGAATCAAATGTATTTAAAGAATACGTTTTACAATTAAAATTGTATGGAAAACGTATTCTCTAAATACGTATTTTTTTTTTGTCCACATTCTTTTTTTTGTGTTTTTTTTTTGTCCAATTATATTTTTATTTTTTTTTAATATATAAATTTCCCGACCATTGGATGATAGTGACCCTTAGATTAGGTTAAGCTATAAACTAACACCATGTGATTAGTTCAAACATTTATTATTGTGAAAACGTCCAGGTAACGGTCACAAATGTTCTTTTCTTTTCATCATTCTTGGACATAGAAAAATAATATGACCAGCTTTATGGGTGACCAATATATTGGGCCATCCACATAGCAAGAAAAAAAAAATGAAAAAAAAACCCACATCACAATCAGGGCCATCTCCTGAAATTTGGAGGCCCAAAAAAAATAAATTTGGAGGCCCCAAACAAATTTTACCTTTTCAAATTTTTTGATTTGAACTTGCGGGGTAGGATTATTTGTAGATAGAATCATACAAGAAAAAGTCTAATTAAACAAGACTATTAAATAAATAAATAATTAAAAAAATAGTTTTTCTTGTTTTTCTAGACATTGGAAAAATTACCTTTAATAAATTATAAATTGCATTTAAGCAGTCACGAAGACAACAAAGAAGAGAAAATAAAAATCATATTACAACAAAGATTATTTATTCTTACACAACTGTTCTCACCGAACATCATAAGAAAACAAATGAAATATTTGGGGCCTCAAATTTCTATACAAAGTATATATTTTGCTATTGTTCATTCATTAATTAGCCTCTACATTTGCGTAATGGACAAATTTATATTTAATTATTAGTCCTTTTATTTGCTTTAATAAACAAATTCAAACAAAAATACATAAAACATTAAAAAAAAAAAAAATTGAGCCCCCTAATAATGGGAGGCCCTAGGCATAGGCCTAAGGTGCCTCCCCCCTGGAGCCGGCACTGATCACAATATGGGAGTCGCAACTGGTATTCTATGCATTGTTTTAAATATATCGCTATATTGTTTTCTAATTAAAAAACACAACGTAGTTTTATATATTTAGCATTTTTCTCAAAAGCGAAATAATGAAACAACACACTTCTTAGTTTTTACGCTATTTTGCTGTTGTATTTTTTCAACGATATCTAAACAATAAAATATTCAAAAAACTTGCATTTTTTAAGGATTAAAATTAATTTTGAATGACAACTAAAAACCAAAATCTTTTATAATGCCTTTTCCTGCATCTTCTTTCTCTTTAAGATTTTCTAGCTGAAATTCTGTCATCATATGAGCTAGTATTAGACCAAAATTATCAACTATTATATGACTGTCTAAGACAACTATTGTAAGACCAAAATCTTTTATACTGATTTCAAATTAAAAGTTTGAAAATACAAAGTCCTATGTTGAATAGTGCAATATATCGATCCAATTCTATTATATCATCATTTTTTTGGGTATTTGATATTTATATTTAAGAATAAACATTTCAGATCTAGCGGTTAGAATTAAATTGTAATTAAATTAAAAAATAATTACGATGTATATGCTTATAATTAAATTATGTCTTATCTTATTATTTTCGTTGTTTGTTTTTAATTTTAAAAATATTTGTTTTAATATTTAAGTATTTATATTGTGATATTTATATTAAATATTTGCAAGAAATAATTTTTAGATGTTATTTTGTGTTTGTACAGGGTATGGACCGAACGGATGAGTATTAGCTAGACACGTGGTGAATTTAGGTACTCATGGAGAAAACGAGCTGAACCGATTGCAAGAAAGGTAAGCGATATACCTGACGTACATGAGAGAGAGTGTAGAATCAACTCTAATCATTGCTAGCTCGGATGACGGCTTAAGGCCCAGCTCGGGTGCTATTCAAAGGGTGCGACGGCTTAAGGCTGAGCTCTAGTAAGCTCGGGTGTTGTTCAAAGAGTGTGACGGCTTAAGGTCGAGCTCTAGTAAGCTCGGGTGTTGTTCAAAGAGTGTGACGGCTTAAGGTCGAGCTCTTGTGAGCTCGGGTGCTGTTCAAAGGGTGTGACGGCTTAAGGTCGAGCTCTTGTGAGCTCGGGTTCTGTTCAAAGAGTGTGACGGCTTAAGGCCGAGCTCGGGTGTTGTTCAAAGGGTGTGAGGCCGAGCTCTTGTTAGCTCGGGTGCTGTTTAAAGGGTGTGATGCTTAAGTCCGAGCTCTTGAGATTGGGTGTTGTTTAAAGGACGTTTTCTCGAACATAGACCAAGCAGGTGATGACCTGGTATTTTCTCGGTAAAAAACCGAGCTGGTTGATGTGCGGCAACTTGTTCGGTGGGCTTATATGTCGAGCAGGTGACTTTCGGGCATTTGATGTGTGGGTACTTGTTCGGTCGGTTTCCATGCCGAGCAGGTTGATGCTCGGGTTTTGGCTCGGACAAGACCGAGCAGGTTGATGCTTGGTTTTTGCTTCGGTATGTCTCAGACAAGACCGAGCAGGTTGATGCTCGGGTTTTGACTCGGACAAGACCGAGCAGTTGATGCTTGAGTTTTTGCTTGGGTATGTGCTCGGACAAGACCGAGCAGGTTCATGCTCGGGTTTTTGCTCAGACAAGACTGGGCTTATAACCTTTAAGATGCTAAGACCGATCACTTTATGTAAACCAGTTATGAAGCTATCAGGTAACCTAGCTATTCATACTTAGCGATATTTTGGTTAAAAAGATAGTTCAAAATTCGCGTGTGGATATTGATGTACAAGCGAGCTATCGGTACTTAAACACTATTTCAATTCAATAAGTTGTGATTTGTGGAAGCTGGGAGTGGCCGAGCTATTAACAAAACCGATCCACTTACACATGACATGCATGGGATGCAAAATAAGGCAAGATATTTATAGTTGGTAAACATGCCAAATCCACGTTTGAGATACAAAGAGAAGAATAGCAAAAACATAAGGTCATTATGCTCAAAACAAGCGAGCTAATAACACTTAGCATACATGTGTCTGCTCCAAAATATGAGTACAATTAGTACAGAGTTATTGTCACAACATAAAAATTGAAAATAAAAACAAAGGGGTTTCACAGGGAACCGTCGGATGAAATTATACAACCTTGGGTGTAAAAATCAAAGTGGCCAAGTGATAGTAATAAAGTAATAAGCAGCTGCAACGGGTACAGCATTCGAGGTGTCCTCTCAATTCACAGCTCAGCGGGATAATAGGAGCTCGGTAAGTCAGTGTTCCTAAATCGCAATAGTATAGGAGCCACTATAAGTGCTCGACAACTTGGAAATTTCAATCACAGCTCGACAAACTGAATCAGCTCGGCGGAGTAGCGATGATAGGAGCTCGGCAATTCGGACTTGTGGAATCTTGGTATAGCCGGAGGAATTTCGGTAAGCGCTCGGCAATTCGGAAATTTCGGTGTTAGTTCGGCAATTTGGATTTTCAGAGGGAAAATCGTAGCAGGAGCTCGGCACTTTGGGTGTCTCCAATACGGCTCGGCAATTTGGATTTTTGGTTGGAAAATCGTAGCAAGAGCTCGGCACTTTGGATTTTCAGAGGGAAAATCGTAGCAGGAGCTCGGCACTTTGGGTGTCTCCAATACGGCTCGGCAATTTGGATTTTCAGAGGGAAAATCGTAGCAGGAGCTCGGCACTTTGGGTGTCTCCAATACGGCTCGGCAATTTGGATTTTTGGTTGGAAAATCGTAGCAGGAGCTCGGCACTTTGGGTGTCTCCAATACGGCTCGGCAATTTGGATTTTTGGTTGGAAAATCGTAGCAGGAGCTCGGCACTTTGGATTTTCAAAGGGAAAATCGTAGCAGGAGCTCGGCACTTTGGGTGTCTCCAATACGGCTCGACAATTTGGATTTTCGGTTGGAAAATTGTAGCAGGAGCTCGGCCCAATGGGTGTCTCCAATACAGCTCGGTAAATCGAATTTTTAGATGGAAAATTGTAACGGGAGCTTGGTAATTTGGATATTTCAGATACAACTTGTCAATTCCCTTTTGTTATTTTTAAATGTGACGACTCCTGTTTTGATGACTCCTGTTTTGATGTAAGTTTTGTA